AAAATAACTTGAATGACAACAATGGAGCGGAATCTAATCTCCGTAAAATGGCAGTCTAGAAGGAATCGGATGAAGGCGCATGAAAAGAAATGAGCTTATGTAAGGTTGGTTTTGAAAGGCCGTTTTGTATGAAAATAAGGCAAAATAAGGCGCTGTATGGAATACCTTGGGTTGTTTGACAATTTGTGCTTGCTGCCCTGGTTTGGGGGGCGCCGAAATGAATATGCACCGCCCTAAAGCAGATTCTACCTTCCCCTTCCTATTTGTTTTTGAATAATCCAATTCAATTCCTCAAGGATTTCTTAAAAATGCCTTATTGTGAACTGTAGCTCGAAAGCCCGAGGAAAACTGTAGAGAAGAGACAATGACTACACATTATGCGTCTGTCAAATGCTTCACCCCCCCCCGGCGCTACCCCGGGTCTGATGTCGGGATTTGGTCACGTTATTCATGCCCCAGGGTGGGGATTTTGGTCACTCAAAAACGTTATTACCATTGGCGTAATACATTGAAAGGCAATCACTGGCGCGCCCAACGTAATGGATGTCGGATATTGTCACTTAAATTTTGCCTGAGGATTGGGAATTTTGTAACTTTAAAAGTGACACTCATCACTGCGTCTTGGGTGGGGCAGCCCGGGGGATGGGGGAAAAATTTGATAGGCGCATTACAGTTTTATAGAGGTAGGAAAAAATCCCCAGATAATAACATATTCTGGAGAAAATACACATAATCAGGATGGCCTTGAAAATCCAAGCTGCATGTTGGTCCAGGCGGGATACGATCGAACCCGAGTCACAGCAGTGGAAGATGTGATTTCACTCACTCACTAATCCCGTGTCCTGCAAGGCCGTTATCTGGCCTTCGCCTGTTGGATGAGAGTCGGTATAGTCTAGGCTATAATTAAAACAGGGCTCATTTAGGGCAAGAAAAGGCATTTTTTTAGTAGAAATTGGTGACATAGCTATTTTACCTAATTTCGGGGTGCTGAATCCGAAAAATGTTACCAAGCTGGATTTTATAGGCCTAATTTGCATAAATCGTTAACACCTGTCGTGTACTATATTTGTTTCCATATTTGGGTATATTTTTTAAATTTCATTTTTTTGAAAAGTTTATTTTGGTGATTATACTTACACTTCCTTACTTTAATAACATTTTCTAAATCTAAAGCATAAGTGACGTGACTGAATAATTTTGAAGACAAAGAAACAGTCCAAAATGGCTGCTATTACATCCTAAAGTTGCGCACATTTACTTTTTTCTCAGATATCATCAAGTAATCTCGCCAAATATCAGTATTGATGAGCTTCAAATTCACAACGTTACTTACTAGCAGAGTTACCATAACAAAAATAAATGGGACATTATGTGAAAAATGATAACATCTTGATATTTAGGCCAAACAAGCAAACAGGGGCAAAATAAGGTGTAAATAAGGTGTAAATTGGGATAAAAAGAAGTTGAAGGGTTGCCTTACGTGGGAGACTTAAACAACTTCAAGGAAATCCCCCAAAATAAAAGATTATTGTTGCTTACAATAATTATGTCAACGTCAAAACGTTTTCTTACCAATTATTCTGGGAATTTCCTGGAACTTGTTCAAGTCTCCCACGTTAGGCGGCATGCAACCCTTCAACCACTTTTTTGCCCACTTTACTGACACCTTGTTTTTCACCAGTTTTATTTAACAATGTTATCTGATTTTCCATAAGGTTTTAATACAGTAAGGCCAAAAAAAAATAGTCGGTCTCTGGTCAGACCGAAGTTCCGGAATTGATGCGGCGACGCGGGTTTTTTTTTTTTAGGGTGGCTTTTTTCCCCCAAGCTTGTATTGTACAGACAAGGTGGGTACTATTTTGCTTTTTTGTGTCCTCATTATACATTGGTGTCCTCCATAATTTGTCTTGGTGCCCTTTATCATTTGCCTTGGTGCAATTTCCCCATTCCTTGGTGCTCCTTGGTACAAAAATTTGAGGAGGCGCGGCAATAGAGGGCGCTGTTGAAGCTTCCGTGTTAATTTGAAGAAAAAAAAGGTGACGCGCATGATTAAAATCGACGCGCGCGCTGACCAGAGACCGAGAATTTTTTTTTTGGCCTAACCATACCAGTAAGCAACATGGTGAATTTGAAGTTCATCCATACTGAGTTTTGGCAAGATAATACTTGATGATATGTGGAGACATGGTAAATGTGCGCAACTTTATCTTTCATTTTCTTATCAATTTCGGGGGGTCAACCCATGACTTTTTGGAGAAATTTCCATCCGAAGATGATCACCTTTTGAAGTAGTCATGAAGCCTGTGGCCATTTTGAAAAACGATGCCTACACTCCATTGCAAAATAGAGCGCTTTTAGGTCCCAAATTTCATTCAAATTGCACAGAACTACAAGCTCACAGTCCTGTGCAAGGCTTCCACCCCTATTTTCTTTACCGTCTCTCAAGTTCATGGCCCACAATGTACTCAAATACCGAAGAATTTGAGGGCCTGCATGCAAATCGTGATTTGGCTGGCGTAGCCAATTTTGCACCGATTTACTGGCCTGTATTCTTTAAAAAGCTGCAGCTACAAAAATTCTTTCTTTATAAATAGGTCATTGGTGATAAGTTACCCAGAAAGAAATCCCCACTTCATACACAAGATTCTGTGAAGCTCATCAGCCCTTCCTGGCCCAGCGCCCTAGGCCCTCCTTCTATGGTGCACATCATGAACAGCGCCCTACGTTTTAATGGGTGTTTTTTAAAGGATGAGAACGTACTGCTCACATTATTTTTCAGAAAAATAATGTTTGATTAAAGGCCAATGAAAGACTGTTGGAAACAGCGAACGGAAAAGAGGCCCGATTTACAGTGTTAACATACAAATCCATAAAAAAAATTCCTTTTCTAAAGACGTTCATATAATGTTGAAATAGTAGTGACGGAGTTGAGAAAAGAGAAGAAGTCAGGCGCGGATACAGACGGGGTCGAAACTAGAAGCTAGATAAAACAGATACACTCAACAATGTTCAATATTTCTCCGCCTATTCAAACAAATCGTTTTTGAGCAGAATTTTAAAGGAAGCCGAATGGCCTAGTGGTTAGATTCGTCACCTACGAATCGTGGAGCCCGGGTTCGAATCCGTCGGTGTCTTTTTGCTTTTCAACGCACACATTCTGTCATTATAAGATGTTTAATTTCTCATCGTAAATCACCAACAGTACCTTAGCTTAAAAAGGCAGACGCGTCTGCCTTTTTTGAAATCGGTGCCGGCAAAATATCCAATGCCTTAATTTTACTGCAAGGTTTGGTCGCTTGTGCACATTCGTGGGTGCCCAGGTGCCTTCTAGTTCGATGCTTCCTAAAAAGTTGCGCCATCAAAATTTGGAGTTCATACCGTTTTCAACATGCACAACACATGATTATTAACTGTCATAATAGAAGCTACTAAAATGCAACAGTTAACTTTCATTCACTGCAAAAAGTATCATGTTGTTGTTATGGAGTTGGGTGAGGCGGGGGGGGGGGGCAAGGGGGCGCCCCCCCCCTGGAAAAGCAAAAAGAAAAAAAAATAATTAAGAGAAAAAAGAAAAGCAAAGAGGCGCAGTCATAGTGGTGTAAATTTAATGGGTTGGGGGGGGGGCAAAATGTCCCTGCCCCCTCTAAAACTGATAAATCGAGAATATGTCGAGAAATACAAGAATTTTTGGGGAAAGTATCTTTTGCTCCCCTCAAGAAAATATCCTGGCGACGCCCATGACTGAAATACTAGATAAACGATGTTAATGACATTGACTTGTAGATCATAAATCAACTCCTGTATTTCAGATTTGCGCTGATCATCTTTAAAAATAAAGTTGGCTGGCCAGATCAAAGTTTAATAAATCACTTTTAAGGAAAGAAAACTCAATTACTATCCTCGGTTTAAATAACAATACTGATCACTAACGTAATAACACCTAGGTCAAATTATTTACATCTAAGTTATTGAGTAAACCTTCATCATATGAATTATCATGCCAGCTGATATTTTTCACTTTCATTATGAGTTGCCTATTGACTTTTAGTAAAGTGATTTCAGCCTTTGACCTGATTTTTCATTAGACTGCAGCAGAAAAACTATGAAGCTAAATTTAAATCAAGTAAAATATATTAAAATTTCATTTGCACTTCAATAATACATGTAATTACCCTTCAGCTATATAAAAAAGTTTACCTGAAATTTGACAAAATTATTTAAATATTTACAGTAGAGTACTGGGCAGTGAATGGAAAAGTTTTCTCATTAAAAAACTATCAATCACTTCAAAAAGAATAAAGAAAAACAAAAAATTATAGTAGAAAGACTTAATGCCGAAAGACTCAATAATACATGAGACTGTCATCGGTGATTTCATCTGTTAATGAGGCAAAATATTTAAGTGTACTGGAAACTACAGCGTGTGTCAATAAAAACGCAGGATTCATAGTGATTTTTTTTGAGAAAATTATGCTACTAGTGTGCCTAATTTGATAAGGATTTGATTGTCCATAATTTCATCTTTGACAAGATTTTTGTTTGGTGGAATTTGGACTTTTGGTTCAAAAGTTATGACAAGTTTTGTGAAGCCCTTCTGAAGCGGGTTGGTCTGATTCAATGACCTTAACACAACGACCAGTTATGTACAATGCAGGTATGCATTGAAGACAATTAAACCAGAACAAAACTTTCTTTGAAACAACTGATGATAAGTATCACTTAAATTTAATAACTGGACTATCATTGTTTCAAAGCATCATGAATGTCGTCTCTGACATATCAAATAATAAATAATATCAGACTTGCACACATGTCCTTCTTTGTGATCCACAAATACTTTCACCTGTACTGAATTCAAACCTTTCATTAGGTATGTGTGATTTCACAAATCAGACCAGCTTGGAATTTATAACCCTTCTTCAATGTACTCTATCTCTGGACAGGATTGTCCAAATGAGATGGAATAAAAAGCATAGTGAAGAGAAGGAAAGGTACTTTGAAGAGAGGGTTAAAGTTATGATGAATAGGGGTGGTTTATATTCTTAATGTTTTTGTTTCTAATCCTGCATTTTTATTGACACACGCTGTATAGAGCAGTGTTTAGTTGAGTAAACATCTATTTACTATTTCTGATTCATTAAATCCGATGAGAACCGGTTCCCGGCAATATACATTTTCTGGAAAGTTCGGCTGGTACCAAGCGATTGTTCATGCTTAGCCCATTTCTTGTGCTTATCAATTTAGAAATTTTTCTTTCTCGTTTGCTCCCATTGGTTCATGCCTTCTACTCTCGGATGCAAGATCTGAGCGTGGGCTTATCCTGGGAGCAGGCTGGTGGCTTAGTTCCTTTGTAAGTGTCACAGATCAACTTCTTGAGGTCGTTTTCGGCTTTGTTTTGAATCTTTTCTGTGTGAACCTACAATAAAAAAAAATCAAAAGTATTTAGGTGCTAAAAATAGTAGAAAGGTTGCGTAATTAGATCTATAAGTAAACGCAATGGAAAAGCAACCATGACCATAAAGGGTAGTCTTCTGAGCCTTAATTCCCATCCTGAACTTTCTCTGAAGCCAACATTTTACATTTTCCCAACTAAAAATGAAAATCTTGGTGAGAGTGCCAGAGAAGGTGGAAACTTGATTGGAAACAAGTGGTTACTATTAACAGGTGGTGGGGATACTGAGTGCAAGGTGGCCAAAGTAGAATTTTTAGCCCCTCTTATCTCCTCCCCCACTCCCCTCTTCCAAAAAAAGGGTAAAACTATTAGTTTGCCCTTTTCAAGGCATTTAAAGGATAATCTGCTCATTTGCATGTTGCTTGTTTCCAATAATAACATCACTCACAATCCAACAAAGAATGTTAAAAATTAAACCTGCTAAATGTTCAGCTCAGTTGATATAACACTTTTTCAGAAGACAGTGAAAAACTTTGTAGCCTTAAAATCTTTTGATCACGAAACACAATTTCATTAAAAGCACTCTTTATTTAAAAAAAAATCAGTCAATTGACTGATCGTTGGGAATTTTCTTGATTTCTCCTAAATGACAGTAAGCCTGATGGACTGATTTCACGGGTGTGTAGTACCAGTACAATCTGTAATCCAACTAAGCTTTTTGATAATAATTTGGTTGGTTACTCATTTTAGGATAAATGCACATGATTCTACAAAGAGAAGTTTAAACCCATGAACTTACCCCGTTGAGTGTGACCCACGGCACGTACTGATGAGGAGGTTTCAATGCATCTGTCTTGAGAGCCATCTGGTGCTCAAGAGAATTACCCAAGGAGCCGTTAGCGCAGGTGAATACTTGCTCATAGTTTACTCCCATCTTCTCCATGCACTGCAATGTAAGAGGAAATTGAAAAATAAAGAAAATAGCTCCCTGATCCACTGGTATTAAGGTGAGTTATTTGCCAGACTTTCTGGTACATTTGATGGTGGATTGAATTCACCCTGAAAACCTACAAATTTCAAAGTCCTGTTATGAATTTGGTAAATGTTTGATACTCAGAACGTTGTTTTAGATCATCTGAAAAAGAAAAGGTTCTGTTGAAGCCATATGACCCAAGTAAGAGTTATCTGCTACAAAGAGCCAAGAGCAAAGAAATTACTTGTATCGTTTTTACTGTTATTTGAGTTTTATCTAATGTGGGTAAGTTGAAAATAATCAAAAGAATAACAGACAAAATTTTGATAGTGTTCAATGTCAATTTTAATCAAATAAATTTTAGACTCAAGAAACTATTTCAAGGGTCCTTTCAGCAGTATAAACATCAATTGAGAATATCTTCTGCATATAGAGCTTTCAATAAACTGCTAAGATTGATCTAGGCACAAATTTAGTAAAACAAATTGTAAAAAGCAATGTGCATTATTATCACTTAAACTGTCAACTAAGAATATGCATGCAAGCATGCCCGGCTTTGACTTTTTAAGGTCAAAGTACTTTCTCTAACAATAAAGTCAACTCAAACAATGACACAATTCAACGAACAAGCAGGAAATATGCGGTTGGTGAAGGACACCGATTTTCAGGTCAAGGATTGGTTAAACCCGAAAGCCTTTGTTCACATCTTTTGCAACGTCATGTTATTGTGGTCTCCATAACAGTGCAGGCACAATGAGATTTTATTAAAAGTATGCTGTTTATGATCATCGGCGTCGCTAGGAATTTTTGAAGCGCGGGGCAAAGCACTCATCAGAAGTGTTCAAAAAAGTCACCTGCTGCTGAAAAATCAAACGGGGAAGATCGTTTGGAAGGTCTTTTCTGCAGTTCCCACTGCTAACTATACATTCAATTAACAGTAATATATTTTTTTTTTGCTTTTCGGGGTGAAGGGGGTGGGGGGAGGGAGGGGCAAATGGGAGGCGCAAGGGTGAGGCGCCCTCTTGCCCCATCCTGTTGACGCCCATGCTTATCGTGATGTCATATTCCCCAACAGAGGCAAAAAGTGGGGTTGTCATAACTGTTGTATGCCCAAGTAAAAAAATAATACAAATCATATCATTCTATAAACTTGGGGTCCACTTTTTACCTTTTCCTGTTCAACCTGACTTTTTTCACATTTCTGAATGCACTTCTTTTAATGCAGTCAGTTTCAAGAGTGATTTATGAAAGCAAACTACCTAACCAAATAAAAAACTATAGTCATTTTTTATGATACTTGAATGACACATTAAAAAGTTCAGACTAACAGGGACAGGAAAAAGTCACACTTCGGCCAATGGTGATGAGGGCCCAGTGAAGATTCTTACAAAAAGGTTTGTGCAAAAAAGAAATCCCCCCCCCAAAAAAAATAGATAAAAAGCAAAAAGCACACTCCCCCCAACCCCCCCCCCCCCCCCCCAACTACCAACCAACCAAATAGAATTTAAACTCGGGTCTTTTTTTCTGCACATACTTTCCGAACTTTATTTTTGTACACACGTCTGGACTTGGGATAATGGGCTCTGGTCAAAAATGACTGTTTTTTGGGGATAATCACAGAGACTTGGGGCTATAGTTACAGCACATCTGCTGCTGCTTAAAAAAAAAATTGGGGGGGGGGGTTCATCTTGACTTACTTTCTGAGCGTTAGGAACAGGGTCCCTTGAGACCTCCATGCAGTAGATGGTCTTGAATGCCGTTGGGAAGGGGGCATAGTGCAGGATACATGTCTCATATAAATTGCCCTGGCATTCTATCGCCCCATGCTGGCACTGAAACTCGTACTCCGAGCCCTTCTGTGTCTCCTGAAATTTAACGACACACAGATTCAAGTGTTTGATTCATAAGAACAGTTTGACTTCACGAAAGAACAGTTCAGTGGCGGATTCAGTGCTGAATTCAGGACTTATTTTTTTACAATCATACATCAGCAATATGTTTTGTCGTTCATGTGCTTCCAGCAAAATTGTAGCTATATCTGTGTTTATGAAAGTTTGGAATCTGGTAGAAAATGTGATGGCTCTTTATGACACAAAAGTAACGACAATTAAACGGTAGAGAAAACGGAAAAAAAATCCATTTTGGAAAATTTGCCACCTCGGACACCAAAAAGGGCTGCCTCCTCCTTTATTCAGAACGACTGGAAGTCAGTCTATTTATTTGTCTTCTTCTTGACCTTAATTAACACAGTTAAGAAGTCTAATTCTTTGCAATTCTGTCATATGTAAAAAAAAAAAAAGGCTTGCAAAACGTTTTTAGGGGAGGCTAAATATGTATACACTTACCATTGCATTTCCATAGGGAACCATTGTCAGGTTCATGATGTCACTAACAGCAGTGTATGCCTCGTGGAGTTGCCCACTGATGAACACTTGACAGTCTGGACAGTAGGACTCGTAGTACAGCGTGAAATTCACCTTGGGAGCAACGCTGTTTGGGGCACTCCATTCCGCACACTGCTTAACAACCTAATAGCAAAAAAATACATTGACGGGTATAATTTTCATGAAGAGTTAGCTACACAAATCTCAATCATGTCAATTAGCAATCCTAATGATCAGAAGTACATTGTATAATGGAATTTAACTGCGCACGACGTCATTACAACTAAGTACTCTGGTCTGGGTTTAAACTTTAATCTGCTGAATCCACAGTAACATGTTGCCATGTAAAACTAAATTTAATCTTATTAAACAAAGCAAGGAAACAATGTTGCAACCTGATGACACTTTTCTCATCATATATCATCTCAATAAAATCCAGTCACTGCAAAAACTGTTGAAAAGACATGAATTATTCCATGTATTCTGGGACTGTGAAACTCTGAGAAACTAGGACTCTACTGATCGCTTTTTTGACATCTGGACATGCCCGACCATGTCTAAATGTTAAAAAAGCAATCCGTAGAGTCTAGTTACTCGGACTAGTAAGTGTGACAAACAATTTTGTAATTGTTAGGAAATACTTGGACAATTTTCTTGACTCTCATAGCTTTGTGCACAACCGCTGAAATGGCGTTTACCACAGTACATTCTTTCCCAAAACAAAATTTTAACTGGTCCCAAAAATGAGAGCCTACACAATCATCGATAAAGGACTGGTTATTGCTAGCCCAGGTTGGACTCCGTTGTCAGTCGTAATGCAATGAAGACGTTGTCCAAACTGGGCTAGAAAATATTGCCTTAATAACTTACATTGCACGTTTTCGCGATTTCTTCGGAGCTGCACCACAACTCCGGCGGAAAATTACACGAAATCACAACGGACGATTGGGCAGCGAGGAACGCTAACAACACTGTTATCGTGAGACGATTAGCCATCATTTAACAATCACCGTTGCCGACTGAATACAAAAACGTCTGTATTGATAAACACCAAAAGTTGTAAAACTTTTTGACTTTTCCTCAGCTAGCAGGCCTCGCCGCGCCGGTGTCTGATCAGCTGTGTTTATCAGTTTATGCGATGCAGAAGTTGCATCATGTGACAACTTTGTGCACCATCTCGGTCACGTGAGTACAGTATGTCACGTGCTATAAAATTGATTGAGGGCGCTCTTGAGAATTTTCCATGACCCCTGACCTGAGTGATGTAAACACGCTTCCACGTGCACGTGCATGACGTGCGTTTACGTTCTCGATCACATCAAAACAAAAATGTTGTGATTGAGACTGTCTTGAAGAGAGTACTTAAACGAAATTATGGCTCTTGAAGTGTTACAAAAATCAGTTGAAGCTTTGCTGGGACCTCAGGGATTCGAACTTCACCCATTTAAGGTATTATGGAATAGCCATGATAGCTTTCGGAATGTAATCCGGCGTTTTCAGAGGACATGGAGGAGCAGTTCGCCACGTTCGCCATTACTCCTAGAACTATGACTGAGGCTCCACGTAGTGGAGCTCCACTACGTGGAGCCTCATAGTTCTAGGAGTAGTTCGCCATTACATGCATAGGCCTAGCTGGACGAGTTACCCAGCCCTAAATTTTATCATTGGGTTGCCGTCTAAATGACAACCCAATGATAAAATTTAGGGCTGGAGGAAGTTGTTCACTAATAAAACCAGCAGCATTGGCAGGTCCGAAATTTTTTTTCGAAAATGTGTAATTTTGTCCCAGTTACACACTTACTTGGGGAGTGTGTGGCCTAGTGGGTAGGGTTCGTGACTCATCATGCTCATGATCAGAGGGTCCGGGGTTCGAATCCAGCCGCTGGTCATATATCATGTATATTGTGTCCTTGGGCAAGGCACTTAACCCCCACTTGCCCCTCTCCACCCAGGAGTATATATATGGGTACCGGCATTAGCTGGGGAGTAACCTGCGATGGACTAGCATCCCATCCAGGGGGAGTAGAAATATTCTCAGTCGTTTCATGCTACTGAAACCGGAGATAAACGCCGGCCTGATGAGCCACATTGGCTCGGGACAGACTTTACTTTTACTTTTTACACACTTCAACTAGAATTCACCCAAACCTTGCCTGGAATAACCACTACACAGGTCCTTGAAGTAAAAAAAACGATCCACGATGAAGATTCAGCCTACAATTGCAGCGAAAAAAAGGAGGCATTACCGACATCCATGCGGTCATGATGATGTTTGTGCACAAAAAAGCGCTGTCGATTACCCTGCGCAACACAGCGAACCATCAGTCACACTTGCCAACTGCACGGCGTGGCGTGGCACCCTACTGCCGTGATGCGAGTGAAGCCTCATACTAGTGCAGCAGTAGTGCATCAAACAGTTGTCTGCCCAACTACATGTGTAGTTGGGCAGTCTCGAGTATTGTTGCCCAGCCAGGGCAGTACGTCTTATCAATAGATGAGGAATTCCTCAACTATTGATAAGGCCACACAAAAAAAGTCTCCGGTTTCTGGTATGGAGCTTGCCAAAAAAGTGGTGCGGCGACGCGGCTTTTTTTTTTTTTTACCTGATTTTTTTTGCCTCAAATGTCGGCTGATGACTGCAAATGGTGCCCGACTAAACTTAGTGCAAATATATGGGAGTCCAGAGAGGCCACATAAAGCTTATTTTCGATCATAACCTCATCCAAAAACACGTTAAAATTGTGGAGCAGCAGGATTCCAGTCAAACCAGTGAGTTTGGCGGTTTTGAGACATCATCTTTCATTGAAAAAAAAAACGTTTTCATTTTGCCGACGCGCATGGCTATACGGCGACACGCGCGCATACCAGAAACCGGAGACTTTTTTTTTTTGGCCTATACTGCCGCAACAAATACTTACGACATTTATAGTAGGGATGGTGACATACTTGGGGCGTAACATTGCCACTCAGCAGCACTCCAGACTAAACACCATTGAATTTCCAGAACATTGGTCTTGGAGCTAGATAAGCCAGTGCAAATACATTCCTGAATGTCCGCGCCCACCTATATACAATGTAGTCATAAAGTTGTGGTAATGGGGCATCCCGTAACTTGTTCTTAATTATTCCTGTAGCACAGTACTGCACCCATCATTTTCCTTGTTCTTTATCTTTGCAGATAGGCTGGTACAACGAGAAAGTCCAATCAATTTTCTACCTGCCGTACCACAAGGATACAATAGCCTTCTGTGTTCTGAGTACTCCTTCTATGTATGAGAAGGCCTTCCTACCCTATGTCAGGTCACTCACAGCGTTAACAAGCAGGGACCCGCTAGATGATTGTGTGGCACACCAGTACCAATGTCTGAAAGAGGTTTGGGCCAACTAAACAACATCAAAAACTACCCACTGCTAATTAGCCCCATAAATGAGGCTCGGATTGCCTCTGTATACTGAGTTCCACCTTGGAGCATATAGGCCTATGTTTATAGCTCCATGGTCCCACTGCCACCTGTTAAAAAAAACGTGTTGGAAAATGTACTTTTTATAAATATAGACTTTTTTCGACTTTGTTTTTGATTTGGAAGCATACTTACATACAGGGAAATCAAATTTAGCATTCAAAGTTATTTCGAAGGAAATCTGATAATGGTTACCCAAAATAACATGGAAACTAGAAATCGTTGAATGCCCAACTTACACGTAACGTGTAGTTTTCTATTGTAATCACTGCAAGCTTTTTAACCAAAAATAAAGTTGTATAAAAAAGCCCACATTTTCACACATCAGTCCACATTGCTAGTACCCACTGTTGTCTTTTCATTATCAACTTTTATTCCTTAGAATCTTAAACGTCCAACAATATTCAGGCCCAAGCTAGTCAGTTGTTACATGTAAATATTGCTTAGCAATTTGCTTGTTTTTTATTTTGTACAGCAAAGATTACATACATGTTGCAATCTGTGAAATAATCTTAAAAAGTTAAATTTGTCTTATGTTTTTGCAATTTAAGGAAACTGTTCACTGCATCACCACAAATCTGACTCAATTTCAACTGAAACTTTTGTCAGAGTTACAGACTATTAAAATGAACTGTGTGACAAGGGCATTTCTTGGTCATTGTTTATCCTCCCATTAACTGTGACTCTTCTTGTAATTTTTTTAATTGTGATAAACATATTTACAACTTTAAACCTTGCCATTTTTTATATTTAACCCAGAGTCTTCCAGATTACAAAATTGAGACCATCCAAGATTACGAGCTGCATCCCAACAGGAGACCCAAAGTCCTGGTCCAGACAGTGGGCCATGTTGCTGGTGCTGCTTATTACTACCAGAGATCCGACATGAAGCATGATCCCTGGGGAGAAAAGGTACTGCCCCAAGTTAGTTGTGCAAAGAATATGCCACGTGCGCTGAGAATGTGCCAGTTTCTTCACTGTATGATTTTACTTTCAACAGATATCACAAAGCTTCATAGGTGGATTTAAAATGCCAACTTTGACCCTCCTACTATTTTATACAGTCACAGACCGTCAAAATTTCCATCCATTTCCTCTGCTATATACTTTTAATAAATTATATATCAAGCAAGCACTGTGACTCAAATTCAGTCAACAGACAAAGCAGTTAAGTTGTGGGCACAGCTGGCTGATCCATCACCCAAAGTCAAAGTAAAGCTGTATCAAGTTTACATAAATAACCAGTCAATCCTGCTTCATGTAGGCTAGGAATTCTTAAACTGTTGAAAACAGTCACTTGATTGATTTTGACTGAAATGACAACTTGGCAGTTGGCATGGAATGTATTGCAATAGGAGGGATAATTATGTTGTATACAGGTATTGGGTTTTTGCCAATTGCCAACATACTTTTTTATTTTTTTTTATATTTTTTTTTACGTCATCTTTAGTGAGGGTAGCTCCGATCAGTGCAGGGCACTGCTTTCCATGGAGGCCGTCAATATGAGAATATGAGACCCATTATGTAGCACCTTTAAGGGTTACAAGGTGCAGCGGCGCATATTGCAGCCACTGCCAGAAACAACGGGGCAAACCCCTTCTCTTAGCGATAAGTGTTACTGGGGTCTTTAATGTGCATTACACAACACACGGGACCTACGGCTTTACGTCCCATCCGAAGGACGAAGCAATAATGGTTAAGTGCCTTGCTCAAGGGCACAAGTGTCCGGTCCCGGGCTCGAACCCACGCCACTGTTGCCTCTGAAACACCAGAGCATGAGTCTGGTGTTCTTAACCGCTAGGCCATGACACTCCTACTTTTATAAACAAATCAGCATTCCGCAAGGGCTTGCAAGAAAAAATCACAAGCTTACTCAGGTGAGACTCGAACCCACAACCTCCTGCTTACTAGTGCAGACGTCTGACCACTCCGCCACCAAGCTTGTCGGGGTTGGCTGGCCAACCAGGTAGCAGCGAGTACCGCAGCAAAACTTTTTATAACATGGAATTTGCATTGGGGAGATGAACACTCTACATTTTGTTTTTGGTTTTTAAGATTTGTTTTTTTCAAAGACTTAATTTCGGCTTCTGGGTCACCTCTGCTTTTAGATTCTTTCTGATGCATGTTATGCCCCAAAAAATAGAAGTGATGCAAGCCGAAGTCCATGTACAGCTGGAAATGGAATGGCATAATTATTCCACTATTTGCGACAAGATCATCACTGTTTTTCTTCAGTGTTAGCTTAAATATGTTCAACTGTTTGTCTTGCATACAGAAAATATTTGGCGTCAGCATCCACCCAAAGTACGGAGGGTGGTTCGCATTCCGAGGCATCCTTATCTTCCCCGAGGTTCAACTCCCTCTGGTGCAGAGGGATCCTCCTAACGTGATCAAGACTGACGACGCTCTAAAATATCTCCTGGACCAGTTCAACGACAACTGGAAGGAGAACAAATACAGGGACTGCATCGATGTCGTGGAACGGTACTCCCAAGAACAGATTGAATATTTCATGACCCCACCGTCCCAGAGGGGGAAGCTTCTGGGGTTCTCTGCTGACGAGACGATAGCTGAAAGCGTGGCGGACCGCTTTCATTAACAGTGTGACTGGGTTGAAGCAGTTGCCAACAAATGTGTAGAATTCCAGCAAATAGACCAACTGGTACATTAACCCTCCTAGTCTTCTGCACTTCACAACCCTTCCAAGTTTTGCGAAATCACTTTTGCCTATAGAGTTAGTACCCACACTTCAAATTCGTTTGAGGTACTCTGTAGAGTGTCTGGAAACCTTAAAACCCTGCACATAGTCATTTGTGTGCATGCTTATACTAAGCTGTGGGCAAGCAAGCAGATTTGGTCACATTTCACTGCTCTCCAAAGTGCTGTTTTTATGCAGTGACTCCATGTCCTTTCACCTGAAACTGATGACCTGCAGAGTTTTAACCAGTTAATGTCAGACGACGTGCATACAGGCAAAGGTTTTGCGGTATTCGGAACGGACAATGGTTAAACACGCAATGAGCGAGGCAGGAAATATCTGTCGGCGACCCGCTTGTAGCAAGGGAGGCCGGAAATATCAGGGTGTGCTACCCGCAGATGATAGCCTGAACCTGTCTGGCACCGAGGTTCATGAAAAACAATCCCGCGCCTGGGTCCGGTCAATGTCAAAATAATCCCGGCGCGAAATGGTTAAAGGGTTTTACATATTGCTCCGAGTATTGACATTCCATTAAGAGAGTTACACTTGTTGACTTGTTAGCACAAGTGCTACAATGTCATATAATAAGGGAATAAATGTGTGCTTTGGAGGTTTTAATCACTCTGTTTAAGACCGCTTTGAGTCTGGGTGCTGATAATTACCTGAGCCGAAGGCGAGGGTAAAAATCAAAACTTTCGGGTAAAAAAAACCTGATTTTGTTCAACAAGCTCACTTTATGTTTTTTGAAACACCCCTCTAGCTAAATAATGGAGTGTCTGGCTCGCGAATAAGATGTAAACAACTCCTTTTATGGAGATTGACGCGCGCGTCGCTCATACTGCGCGATGTCGCGCAGAATGCACCTGGGGCGTTGCGTTGTGAATTTAGGACTATAAAATACTGACTCACTGGTAGTATTGCGCATGCCTACGTGAGGATTGTGAACATTCAACCAATAAAACGGTAAGAGGCACTGAATTTTTAGGAGTCCAAATTTCACGTGACACTGGAAAAGTCTTTATCATCCGTTTAAGACTGGCCACGTGACGAGCTCTCGACCAATAGGAATGGGTAAACTGTCTTAGGTATTTATGAATGTAAGTTTAGAACATTATATAAAATTGTTGGGGGCTGTTTTGGGCGAAGTATATGGAGTTACAGACAGGGTGGTTCCGGGCGGTGCAAGGACTAAAGGGATAATCTACTTTAACTTTAGTTTGTGAAAATAGTTACTTGCAATAGTGGCAGCATAGTTTTATCTGCTTGGCTTTCATTTGGTTTGCTAACTTACACTGTATTTTGACTATAAATCTTAACATTGGGTTTTGCCCTTCACTTATTAATTCTCTAAGTACTGTACTACATTCACTTCCGTCCAAGAACTTGTCAAAAAAAATCACAAGCTTGCTTTGATGTGAAATCTGCTGGTTACTAGTGCAGACGTTTAACCACCTGAATTTAATCATGCAAGTTCAGCTGACCTGGTCAAACCTACTCCCCAACCAAAAATTCCATCCAGTGAGTACTTTTGTTAGAAAATTGTGCATACATGTAGCAAATCGCCATTAATTTTGTATAGAAAACATGTCAGTATGGCAATGAGTGAAATTTTGTTAAACAAAGTCAAAACTGCCTAGCGTTTTGTGACAAGACTCGCACAAAAAAACCTACTGCTGTCAATTTATTCTGTCAACTTGGCACCCTTGCCATGCTTGCTTGAACATGTGCACTACATGTATGTCTCACATGTAGTTTAGCAAATGACGATTTAAAAAAAAAATGGGAAATTTTATTTATTTATTCTCATTGTATTTCTTCTGGGATTGAGGTAATTTTTTTCACCAGTTCGCATCGGATGATGTGTATAAATGATTTTGCGGTATTTGGAACAGATGACAGATAAACACGCAGGAAAAGCGAGGCCGGAAATATCTGTCAGTTACCCGCTCGCAGCGAGCGAGGCCGGAAATATGAGTGTGCTGCCTGAGGGTGATGGCTTCAACCCGCCTGGCATCGAGGCCAAATGAAAAGTAATCCCGCACCTCATTCTGTTCTTGTCAAAATAATCCCGGCGCGAACTGGTTAAGATAAAAGTTAGCAATTATGCAGCCTCCGTGCACAAGTACCCCCTCAATGGTTTCAAAGAGAGAGTTGGGGCAGACCACTGTAATGGCTGTTCAAATGCAGTGCCGTCAGCACGCGACACTCGTGCAAAGATGCAACTTGTTTGCACACACTCAAATGAAGTAAGTGGATCTGATGCACCGTGCCCTCTGGAGACATGCACACAGTAGGGAACAAAAGATTGTATACGTCTCCACAGGGCAATTTCTATAGATAAATACTGTACGTCTCCACAAGGTTTTCACGGAATAGATATATGGATTTTACTCACTAACTAGGAATTTTCAAGGTGGGTTGATCAAATGGTAGAGTTTTAGAAAAGGGATAATAAGTCCAAATTTCAGCCAAGGAAATTAATTTTGGTTAAAATAAGAGCATTTTGAAACTGTACTTTAAAACTCGAAAACTTAAATACACGAGAACAAAGAAATGTCTCCTCAAAGATACAAATTTCAGTAGTGGCGTATGTACTTGTGTATCTCGCCTGTTTGGCAAGTTGTCATGCTTGTGGTACATAATTAAACATCATGTATCTAGCCCAAGAGAAAAAAAAAATTAGCATTTTTGTTCCACAATCTCAGGAGATTATTTAGTGGTGTTTGTAGTTTTTATTACATTTGTATTATTTATTTTAGTTTGTGCTCGACGGAATGAATTTGTTGACTTAAATATAAGTTTAATACTACATTGTATGAAAAATGCAAGACACGTATTTTTGAGTGATTTTCTTTTTATTGCAAAACCTCTGACAATTTTACTCCATAATTAGTACTATTTAAGAGAAATCTAAAATACACACAGTACATGTATGTACATGTAATATCTAGCCACTCACCAAAGGCAAATAATAAAAACTGTGTTTAATTATAAAAAAAAAATTTCAGCTGAATTTGTCAAACCTGCTGTCACCTCCCATCTGATGCAACATAGAGTGTCCATCGGATGTATATTGCACTGGTCTGGCTAAAGTCACCTAATTATTGCGGCTACCTGTCGACTGCCCCACGTATCTGCCTGGGCCCAATTCAATGGCTCTGCTAACGATGAAATTTTGCACTTACAATAACCATTCTGTGCTTACAGAACTAGTGCAGAAATTGTGTTCTATCTCTGTAAGAGCAGAACTGTTATATCCGCTCCATTCACAAGTACCCCCTCACCGGCAAAGAAAGTCCAGTGGGGGGTGACCGAACGACGCCATCTTGCCTGACTGCAACATTTTACTGCGAAGCAGGTACATAGTACAAATCCCCTGGTGTACGTGCGTCACACACAAGGAACGGTGCGTGCGCGTCAACCAGCGAAATGTATGTGTCCCGCCCATGGGGAGTCGTTGCCCATAGGCACATGTGCCCCTGCCGAAATCCTTGCTAACCGTGAAATACAGTAACTGTTAACAAGGAAGTTTTGCATGGTAAGCAAAAATTCTTGGCTCAGAGTAAGCAGATGCTAAACTGGCCCATGGTGCTGTAGGTGGCCAGGTACCTTTTTAAACAGGTTGCCTTAAGCTTAGTACTTTCTAATTTAGAAAAAAAATTTGCTGAACGCCCATGCACCATAAGTGACAGTCTATTCACGTCAATTGTTAACATACAAAATCTTTCTAGAGGTTTCAATAAAGAAATGTCACTCTAATCTATCCGTAACACAATTTCCATTTTTGCTACAACAGCAAACTCTCATAACTTAAACTGTATCCCATGCAGAAAGCGTTAACATAAATAATAGATCATGCACATTCAATATTTCGAGCTTTGTATTTCTGCCAAGCCAAGCTATGTGGCTAAAAAAAAAAAAAATTGCTTCCACCTCTCTATTTGCTTAAAACATGAATATTTGATATTCATTCTCATATAGAGACACCCGATACGATAGAATGTACAAAGAAATTGTGCCTTCCTGTTCGAACCTTTTTGTCTCTCTGTGATCACTATGTTTGCTCAACTGGAACTCGAGCATGCATGCTCACTCATAGTTCCCCAAATTGGGGAACCTCGCGCAAGCCATAGCAAAATAGTCCCGAGAAATAATGACATCACCCTTTGTTTACATGTGCACTCTAATATGGGAGCTTGATGGTTTTCATCCAACCTGGCTCACTTTAGAAAAAGCATGTATGTAAACAAAGAATCATTTTGGCTTTTACCTATGGGATCTGTAGGTTATGAGCTCCCAGTTAAATATTGAGTTGAGTAGCATTCCGAGTTGTGAGATCTATGCTTATGAAGTCATGTATCACTTGTCCCACAAACCACAATGGGCAATCTGAAGCAATTTAGCATTTTATGTGATAACGGTCGGTTCTTGCCGGCCCGTCAGCTCTTGCAGCTGAGATATACCCAGGGCAATCTTGACCAGCGGCCGCAGGACCACCTGTGCGTCCAGCGAGTATTTGGACTTGTCGGACTCGTAGCTATCGATGTACATGCGGATGGTGGCACCGGAGCTGCCGGTACCGCTCAGCCTGAAGATGATGCGCGAGCCGTCTTCAAAGATGATACGGATCCCCTGAAAACAACCAAACAAATGAAGACTGTTTAAAAGGGATTGAATTGGGAAAAAAAATGTTTGATTATAAATCCATGTCATCTGAGTAAAGTCTATCACGATTAAGGATAAAGTGGCTTGCCCAAGGACACAAGATATGGCGAGCACCTGGATTCGAGCCCCTGAACCTCTGATCAAGAGTCACAAACACTAATAATAATAATAATAATAGTGGATATTTATAAAGCGCACGTATCCACCAGGACTGGTGCTCAAGGCGCTGCATCATTATTACCCCTGCTCATTGGGCCAATTAAACATTGCAAATACCATCTCAGCTCCCTGGGGAGTATACAGCTCAATGCAGCCTGTTAGGCGCAAGGAAGCTAATTCAATCACAATAACCATCTCTGCCCTCACAGGTACCCATTTACTCCTGGGTGGAGAGAAGCAATGAGTGACAAAGTGCCTTGCCCAAGGGCACACGCACCATGACCCCGCCAGGACTCGAACCCACAACCTGCAGCTTTACCCACAGACCACGAATCAGTGCCCTTAACCACGAGGCCACAGTACTCCTGCATAAGGTCTATTTTCAAAAAAAAAATGAAGCTGTCGAGACTCGATGACGTAGAATTCACGTCAGATTCGCTGCCTTTGTTTTGAGGAGGTTCCCCGTGAGTTTATGATAATTCCCATCACCATGGCCGAATGGTGGGATTATGCGATAAACAATGAGTTGGGATAAATTCAGAATAAGTCAATAACTCGTAATCGACGCCCCATCAAGTAGATGAGGGGGATTTATTCAGGCAGTTATGTTCAAGATTCTGCCTAACTATCCCTTTGTTACCATTAGGGGGTACTCATAATAGAGTCTATATTCAGCATTGTGATGGTTAGAGTACCAGGGTGGGCAAGAAGCAAAAAAAAAAAACCCAGAAACTGACTGATCACAATGATATACCTTGATTGATCATAATGAAAATATCTTACTAGAGTTACTAAACGCTATCAATTTTGTTTTATTGTTACCTGCTTCTTGGACACAGAGCTGTCAATTGGATCAGTGTACTCAAAGTCGTCCGCCTTGGCAACTTTGTACGTCTTGTCCCCCTCTGCGAACTCGCGGCCTATAAACGTCGCTACTTTGTCTGCATCCACAAGACTGCGTAGATTGGCCATCATCTGCTGAGCTGGTTCACTGTCGACGTTCTCGTAGTCGTACCTTTGAAGCAAAACAAAAGCCCATCAAATGCATAAATAAGGGAATAAATGTGTGCTCCGGAGGTTTTTATCACTCGTTTAATACCGCTTAGAGTCTGGGTGCTGATAATTACCCGAGCCGGAGGCGAGGGTAATTATCAGCACCCAGACTCTAAGCTGTATTAAACAGAGTGATAAATACCGACCGAGCACATATTTATTCCCATTCATAAATACCTTATCCGTAAAAAAATATCAAATTATTCGTTCAAAAAATCCCGATTTTGTTCAACAAGTTCACTTCATGCTTTTTGAAACATCCCTCTAGCAAAATAATGGAGTGTTCAGCTGGCGAGTAAGATGTAAACAACCCTTTTATGGAGATTGACGCGCGCGTAACATGTTCTGCGCGATGTCACGCAGAACGCACCTGGGGCGTTGCGTTTTGAATTTAGAACTATAAAATTCTGACTCGCTTGTAGTGTTGCGCATGCCTACGTGAGGATTGTGAACGTTCAACCAATGAAACGGTAAGAGGCACTGGATTTTTAGGAGTCCACATTTTATTGTGACACTGGAGAAGTGTTTAAGACCAGCTAGCCATGTCTTTATCATCCGTTTAAGACCGGCCACGTGACAGGCTCTCGACCAATAGGAATAGCTAAACTGTCTGAGGTATTTATGAATCACATTTCACAATCAGTTGCATCAGAGCAATTCCAGCGTTATGAAAGGAAGTGTCCATGACAGAGTAAGTCCATGACAGAGCCAATTAACCATGATTTCTAATTCATAAATACCTCAGACAGTTTAGCCATTCCTATTGGTCGAGAGCCCGTCACGTGGCCGGTCTTAAACGGATGATAAAGACATGGCTAGCTGGTCTTAAACACTTTTCCAGTGTCACATAAAATGTGGACTCCTAAAAATCCAGTGCCTCTTACCGTTTCATTGGTTGAACGTTCACAGTCCTCACGTAGGCATGCGCAACACTACCAGTGAGTCAGAATTTTATAGTTCTAAATTCAAAACGCAACGCCCCAGGTGCGTTCTGCGTGACATCGCGCAGAACGCGCGCGTCAATCTCCATAAAAGGGTTGTTTACATCTTACTCGCCAGCTGAACACTCCATTATTTTGCAAGAGGGATGTTTCAAAAAGCTGGAGTGAACTTGTTGATCAAAATCGGGATTTTTTGAACGAATTCCTTGATTTTTTTTTAACGAAAAGGTATTTATGAATGGGAATAAATATGTGCTTGGTCGGTATTAATCACTCTGTTTAAGACTGCTTAGAGTCTGGGTGCTGATAATTACCCTCACCTTCGGCTCGGGTAATTATCAGCACCCAGACTCTAAGCAGTCTTAAACAGAGTGATTTAAACCTCTCGAGCACACATTTATTCCCTTATTAATGGTTTAGAAATATGACCCAAAACTCTGAGTCTGTAATCTCCTTGACCATGACTAGATGATGGATGTCTACTGTTTGAAATTTGTTTTTCAGGTTTATTCACTGGGCTCTAATAAAAGCTCTGTCGTGAGCGTTACATAACGCTGGAGTAATCCCTACGGACGCCATGCTTTTGGATCATAGCAGACCACTAAATTCGAACCCAATAACGCAACAACAATGCAAATACAACACCAGGTCTTTTAAGATTTTGGAGGACAATGTTTTGTCAAGACCAGGAATCATTAATTAAAGGGATTGTACATCATTGGCTTTTGCTGTAATTTTCAGAAATGAACTATTTGAGAGGTTAGTATAATAGATCAAATATTGTTACACTGACATTTTTGAAGTTTTGTGTTCGAAAAGGTTGGAAAAACCAAGAAAAACTAAAATGTTCAAGTAGTCTGGTTCCCTGACTCCACAAATAATAAAATGGATCAATTTATAGATGATGGAAAATTGTAAGGCAAGGGAACTAGTCTAGCTGGCCTGCATCCGTTCATGAACATGTAACCAATAGCAAACAAAATTTGGACTGAAAAAAATGGTAAATTTGGAGCAGTAGTTGAAAAATAGTTAGGTTTTTCCAACGCTGGTCGGCCGACCACCGTTGGAAATGTTTACAAAAATACCATTTACTTGGAAATGACTTCACACCAGGTGCCATAATTTTACAAGATGCTTGAGACTGTCATTTACGAACATCCTAGTAAGGTATTTCGTAAAAACTTGGTAGTTGTATTTTTCGATGTTTGCAAATGTTGTATATTCCCTTTAACATGAACTGATGTCCAAATTTAAATAAAAAACGTTGAATTTGGAACTGCTCTGTTAAAAAAAAGGATATGGAAAATACACTACCTTGTGAAAAAGTTGCGGCCATATTTCGTCCAGTGATCCATGAGGATCTCCTCCACGCTCAGTTGCCGGGCAGCCATGATTGACAGCCAGGCAAGCACCGCCCACAGTCCGTCCTTCTCCCTGATGTGATCGCTGCCCGTACCAAAGCTTTCTTCACCGCACAGTGAGAGCCGGTCGGCGTCCATGAGGTTGCCGAAAAACTTCCAGCCGGTCGGGACCTCGAAGAACTCCAAACCATCGGCCTTGGCTACCCTGGCGGTGTGGGGCAAAGAATCGGCTTGTTACAAAATAAATATGTAAAACCTTCGAAGCCTACTCCTTTTTCAATTGCCAAGTTCTTTCAAAAAGCTATTCGCCTGTGCAGGATGGTTCATTAACTTCAAAACTTACCTGTATTAAAGTCAAAGATTTATATGGCTTACTCATAAACACTGCAAGGACAAGCCTTCGGAACCAATCAAGCGTCTAATCAATGCACAATTTTTGTCCTGTTTTTTTTCTAGTTAATCCGTCACAGGGCAGTTGATTTGTACAATAGCGTGGGGCACTGTTGTCCAATGGTTCAACTCGTGTGCCGTGGTACATGGGTTCGAGCCCTAACGGGGAACATGGTGCTTGTGCTCTTGGGCAAGACACTTGTTTTATTCCTTTACGCTTAGCTAACTAATCCTTTTGTATGCTAATTCGTATCATTAATATTCATTACGTCTGCCAATTACAAACGCTGCGGCCAACGGGTATCGGTCGCCAGGTCTTTCAAATTCTGGCTGGAGACCAGGGAGGAGTCACACATCCAATTTAATATTTTGTTCCTTTTCTTGTTTTCCAGAAATTAACCTCCTTCAGAACATAGTTGATGTGTCCTCTTCTCAATTATTGACCCTGACCACCTAGGGTCACATATGTGTTAAAGACTTGTAAGAGCCAATACCTGTCCAGAGCACCGCTGGTGGGCATGCTGCGTGCCAGGCCCTTCACGCCAGTCTTCTTGAAGTAGGGGATGCACTTGGCGTTGGCGGCAATGACGGCAATCAGATCACTGGGAGTCACAAAGAAGCCATTCTTGCCCAGAATCATGTTGCGGTCCTGGTTTAGCAAAGAAAATAATGAATGTTTTTTGATGCAGCAATTTTGTTTTTTATGCTGCTTCTGAATATTTTTCAGAATATTTAAGAGAAAAAAACAGTGGTGAAGTCAAATCATCCTGTATCATGACAGGTGACACGACAATCAAACGTACTGTAACAGACATTCCTCAGCCATTTCAATACCCAATTACCCTAATTTTTACAACCGTTCTTTGAATGTTTCAAATGATTATGCAAATTTCCACCAGATAAAATTATAATCAAATTTTAACAAGTCATCCAGTCTGAAGTCAAGTATCAAACTGTGACGAAGGCATTCCTTTGTTACTGTCCATCCACTACTACGTGTGACCTGACTGGGTATTGACTTTAGGCCATCAGCCTGGGGGTTTGGTCAGTATCAAATCAGGGCATGAATGATAACAGTGCGCATGCGCAAGGTATACCGCCCCTAGAGTGGTAACAAGCATTTTGATGGACATTCAAAAAAAAAAGGTCGATAACACCCAAAAAGCTGCCACCGCTGCAATGCTATCACATATTTTCCAACTCTGGAGGTGTATACCTTGCCAAAAATTGCTATGATGATTATTCCCCTCATTTGATATCGGTGGCCAAAATTTTGGACCGAGGCTGACGGCCTACTTGTGTGATTTACTTGTGACGGGATTTGTGGTGGACTAGACTAAACCAATTTTCCACTTACCCCGTCCCCATCAAAGGCAGCTCCCAGGCTGTGGATGCCTTTCTTCATCAAGGTCACCAGGTCAGCCGCGTAGGTCAGGTTGGGGTCAGGATGGTGACCCCCAAAGTCTTCCTTGGGGTCACAGTTCACGCATGACTCTGCTGGTGCCCCGAGCTCTTGGCAAACGATGCGCTTGGCGTAGGGCCCAACAACTGAATTCAAACAAAAAGAGTCCAAATTCTTTTCTTTTTTATTGGAATTCACTTTTTTAACACAAATGTGACCGGCTCTACAAAAAAGGGTATTAAGTCGCCCTTGGCATTATTGTGTAATGGCCTGCTCAACATTGAGAGGGTGAAATTTTGTCAAAATGTAATTTTCATTTTATGTCATGAATGTCATCTTTAATACCTACAGTTTCAGGTTTCTTTCACAGAAATGTTGATTTGGATGAACAAAGTGGAAAAAACAACCATTTTGTGTGCATCATTCTAATGTTCTACGACAAAGCCAGCTATTTCAAAGCCTGTTTTCTCAGTTGTGTAATTTGAACTCCAAGGAAGTAATTAATATGCAAATACGTCATATCTCCAGAACAGGAGGGGCTATGGAGCTCTATTATATACCAAATGAAAGCTTACATTGTGGGCTTTCCAACCATGTATATAACTCCATTTCACTTTTTTGCAACATAATACCTTTTTTTGTGGAGCCGGCCACAAATACTTTTTGATAAAACTTTGAGAAAGAAGACAACTTTAACCCCTTAACACCGATACTGTTCGGCTACCACGGCTGCACTTTGAATGGAATGTGTACATGCAGGCACTCAGCCGTTGTCTATGAAACCATGCGGCTATACTGAAGGAATGTGGCTATAGCCGTCCCCCGGCTTACCGCCTTTCATCGAGCCGTGGCTATACCCGTCAGCCGGCATCAAAGGGTCAGTCATCTATTTCACCAACTGTAAAATACTTCCTGTATACCTCGTTAGCAGGCAAGATAAATGAAATGGACAATATCACACAATCAAGGCAGTTTCTGAAAATGTAACAAATTCTCTACAAAATGCAAAAACATAGGCTTTGCACCTTCCCCCCCCCTTTTTTTTCCTTTGCTTCTTTGAGACTTTTCCTTTTCCTTTTAGACATTTGATTACATTTATTTCTGTACTGCGCAATCATGATTATTCCTGAAGTAAATTTATCTGTTTTAGAATAATAGTAGTTTTCACACAAATGCAAAAACCCTGCAAGGCTTAAATTTTTTTCTAAAGCCGATGCTCACAAATCAGGTTGAATTTTTTCAAAGGTCAAGACAAGATGAACCATTGTGATTATAATTTCTACTAGCGATCAGCGTTTTCCTTCCTTTCCCAGCAAAAATGTAAACAATTTCCCTGACCAGCTGTTCTGGATGCATAATAATGTATGGCTTTGAATTGCAAACCCCCCCCCCCCCGAAATAAATTGAAGCAAAAGCCAGTAAATGAATAAAAAACATTGCACAGCTGCAATGTGTACAAACAGCACGTGTTTCTTAGTCGAGTTTGTTGCAACAGCTGCTATGGCCATCATAATTTTTGTTTGTCTAAATATAGGTTATTTATGCGAACATGTTTGTGCGTTACATTAGACTCAAGAGTTCACCCCTTGTTTCAGTTCCGTTCGTCTTCGTTGAATGTTCAAAGATGCAGAGTTTTGACATTTCACATTTTTTCTATTTCTCCCCTGAAAATGGATTTATTTATTAACCCCCCTATGCAAACATGCATTCTGAGCCTTGCTGTTACTTGGGTCTGGCCAAGTGATCATTGGTTTGTTAAAAGTATACCAGGGGAAGTGGAAGGAAACTCTGACTGTTTGTGACTTTTTCAACAGCAGGGGGTTAATAGATAGAAATGTTTGAAACTATAAATACAACTTCACATATTACATGAAACAACATACTGTACCTCCATGCATGGAATTCACAACGACTTTCAGGGATCCACTCAACAGTTTCCTCAAGGCCTCAAAGTCAAAGATTTCTTGCATGAGGGTGAGATAGTCTTCCACAGAGTCGACAACCTGTTTGGATTCAGCATTTAACATTAACGTTTTTATTAGAGGAAGGTCTATTGGAAGAAAGCAACAGAAGAATACCTTCCAACCACGCCCGGTAGTAATTGCAAAAGTTGCTTTCAAGTCCTCACAGATCTTCACAAGTCAATCACAAGTCAATCACAAGTCAATCACAAGTCAATCACAAGTCAATCACAAGTTAGTCACAAGTCAATCACAAGTCAATCACAAGTCAATCACAAGTCAGTCACAAGTCAGTCATAAGTCAGTCACAAAGTCAGTCACAGGTCAATCACAAGTCAATCACAAGTCAATCACAAGTCAATCACAGGTCAATCACAAGGCGATCACAAGTCAGTCACAAGTCAGTCACAGATCAATCACAAGTCAGTCACAGATCAATCACAAGTCAGTCACAGATCAATCACAAGTCAGTCACAGATCAATCACAAGTCAGTCACAGATCAATCACAAGTCAGTCACAAGTCAATCACAAGTCAATCACAAGTCAGTCACAAGTCAGTCACAAGTCAGTCACATGTCAATCACAAGCCAATCACAAGTCAGTCACAAGTCAGTCACAAGTCAGTCACAAGTCAATCACAAGTCAATCACAAGTCAATTACAAGTCAATCACAAGTCAATCACAAGTCAATCACAAGTCAATCACACAAGTTATTCAACTGAAGTGTGACAAAGGCATTCCTTTGTCATTGTTCATCCCGTCACTTGCGCCCTAACCTGTAACTTACATTTGTAATTTGTGATACACTTGTGATTGCCTCCATTACAAATCTGTGATTTTCATGCGCTTATTACCTCAATGGTGAATTGTCGGCCTTCAATGTCAAACTGTTGAGTGCCAAGAGAGGTAACATCCACATTCAGATCAGGGCAGTGCTTGATGGTGGAGATTGTCTTGGTTAACTCGTAGATGGCGTCAGTTACATTGGCTGGAGCAGGTCCTGTATTGACAAGGAATCAATTATAAGATTGTTATAATTTGTGGCTTATTGTGGATCTGGTGCCTGCCCCACAATCAGTATCAATAATGTGTGGATCGGGAACCAGTTTGCTTGCAAACATGTGTTTGTGCCCAAAACAAAAACGTTTTTGCAGAGGGTCGCTGACAACCCCCCCCCCCAAAAAAAAAAGGGGGGGGGGTGGAAAGGAGGTTTTGTTTGGCTGGAATAAAACATTTCAAAATTCACTAGTAGAAAACAATCTCACTTGTTAAAGAGCACATTATTGTTTTGTATGCAGCTTAAACTTTACCCCAACTCCCGAGGCATTTTTTCTAGGACACAACCCCAATCAAGCAAATCCGCCAACTGCCGGCCTCCATGTAAAAATTGCATACAGCCTCAATCCTCCAAAATCCTCCATCATTTCTTGAATGTGGTCCTTGGAGGGGTGACCACTGCCTCAATCCTGCAAAATCCTCCAGCAATCACTGTCAATATGATGAGGCAGAGCAAGTGACATCCTGGAGCAGTGCAGGAGATTTCAAGTACAATTTAGGCCTAAATTTATGCACGGCTGAGCATTAGCAAAACGAAGTCCGGCCCAAGACCTCAACACAGTGCATCCTTCGAAATCAGTCACACACCTTTGCTATACAGCCTCAATCCTACAAAACCCTCCATTTTGCAAAGAGGATTTTGGAAGGTTAGGGTTAAGGACATCATGTTGCGCGCTTTGGTGGAATAATCCGCATTGTTGGGGTGGAGTTGGGGTTGGGGCTGGCATTGGGAGGGGGGGGGGGTTAATTAACATACCTCCATTGGATATGTTGAATTTGATCCCAAAGTCACCATCAGGACCTCCTGGGTTATGACTAGCTGTCAGGATGATGCCCCCAGCTGCCTGCCGCTTCCTGATCAAGCAAGACATCGCCGGCGTCGACAGTATCCCATTCTGACCAATCACAAGCTTGCCAATCTAAAAACATGCAAATGAGATGGCAAACGGAAACGCTCAGACCTAAAATCAATGACAACCCTCACAATGACTGTATTTTCGCACATGTACAATACACTGGATTCCTTTGAACAAAAGACTGCACAAACAGCCGCTGACTTTGTAAAAACGCACATGCCAGCACGTTTTTCTGAGGGCACCAGCAAGTATTTTCTTTGGATTTTTAATTCACTCAAAATCAGTTCCCATTCGATACATTGTAAAGACAGAACTATGTAATGCCAAATAAAAACAAACCTAGTTCGTCGTCCCTGTCCACTTCCTTTTTCCTAACCACAAAAGTACCAGCAAATCTTAATGAGAGGAGAAAATGGAAGAATCATTCCGCCATCCAGGAAATTCGCCATCTTGGGGAAAAAGGGGGCCCCTCCTTTTTAAAAAAAAAATCCGGACAAGAAACTACTTTTATTTTAATGGGCCTAGTCTCTGTCAGTATGTATTTTTTCCCCCAAATATTTACTAGCTTGAGTACTCCAGCTGACATGCTCATCAGGAATTCACATTACCACTATTTCCGTAACATCTGGTAAAAGAAACCAAATATCTTAATATTGAGGACTTATGTTGCAATCATAAGGCCTATGAATATTTCGGTTATTTAATCTTCGTTAGTGCTATTTCAATGGATACTTTAGTTTAAATGTGCCCAAAGATTGATTATTGCAACAAGCAACGGTGCGCAGTGTAGTGGTAAAAAAGTGTTGTGTTTCAAAGAAAAGTCTGAGGTCAATTGAGGTTCGAATCTTGATAAAGTAAGTGACTGATAAATAAATAGGAATTTCCGAAAGGGAAAGATTCCCATATCTGGCCATCACTAATTTTTCCCTTTAGTGACCTATCACTATCAGCCATCAGAAAGTGATTAATATGCCCTAAAGAGTCAAATTAAGCAGGGGAAGTATTTACTATAAATACTAGGAAAACACTTAGTTTTCTCATGTGCACAGGGTGACAAGTGAAGGCCAGATATGGGAATCTTTTTAAGTGGAGACCTAGTAATAGTATAGAAAAAAATTCCAAATGAATTTATTTCCTATTTTTAACTTAACACACCTACCAAATGACCGACGTGACCGAACAAGTACACTATCATCAATTAATCAGGCAATGCCTAGGCCTAATTAATATTTTAATACAGATACAAACAAATCAATTTTCACCCCATTAGCCGCGGCGATCTGGATTATAATCTGCACAGCTGTCTTCATGTAAAACCTGCCGTCTCCGCCCAACAACAGCGTACATCCCTCGCGGGTCGCGCCGTCTATCGCCGACAAAATGCTCTGCACGAAGTTGGCCGTGTACCGCCACGACTGGAAGACGGTGACATGTTTCCGGAGTCCGCTCGTGCCGGGTTTCTGGCCTTCGCACGGGGAGGTCGACTCGCACTTCACGGTGTAGGACTTCGCAGACATCTTGGTGGGGTTATGTGGCTTTCAGTGACCTGAACGTGTAAATAAAACGGTTGTAACAACTCCCAAATTTTATTTTAATCCAGTTCTGAATCGGAGGCGAACACTCTTCCACCGGCACGCACGTAGGCCAGCTACATGCACGATGCACGCATATCTGCATATGGCATGTACGTATGCAACTCGATTCCAAGGAGTCAGGGTATCCATGTCATAACAGTCAGGCTCCGCTAATCACTGATTGGGCGTTTGAAGAGGGCGGGGCATGGGAGTGAAAATGTAAACTTCGATCTGATCGATTTCCACAAAATAAAATATTTTCAAAATTAACGAAGTATAGAATTGCGTTTATGCGTGCTTTCAGTGTGACACAATGATTGGTCCATCAAGTAGGGTAGTCAGAGACACGATCGGGAGTTATCTTGCTGGGGGACGAGAAACAAGGGCGGATCCGGGGGGGGGGGGGGGGGCAACGGGGGCCACCCCCCCCCCAAAAAAAAACCCACAGGGCATCTAGAATCCATTTTGGGGGGGGGGGGGGGGGCCTTAATTAGCGGGTCCCGAATCCCTCGCCGTAATGTTTTGGGACCCACTTTTTGGGCGACCCATTTTTTTTGCCCCCCCCCCCAAAAATTGTGTTCTGGATCCGCCCTTGACGAGAGACATCATATGCGGGGAGGGCCGGGGGGGGGGGGGGTAGTTTATGAAGTCGCTGGTATAAAACAGAACAATACCGCAAAATATTCATATGCTCAGGAAAGCCATTAGATTGCTATAAAGTACATTCAATTTAATAAAAAAAAACCTTCAATACAGACAACAGTTTCATATCTGTTTTAGGTTCACTTTTAATTAATTGACTGATTGACCGATTGATTATTGTGTCCATATATACTTTACAATGGTCATTAGAATACATTTTTACAGCCATTTTCCCCGCATGTTTAGTCCAAGGGCAATTTCGTAAATTCCAGTTTGTTTGTACGTCCGGCCACATGATATTACGGGGCCGTATCGTAAGTCCGACGCCTCATAGGTCCGACGCCTCATAAGTCCGAAATTTCGGACTTATGAGGCGTCGGACTTATGAGGCATAACATTTATTTATTCCGCCTCATTGGTCCGACGCCTCATAAGTCCGACGCCTCATAAGTCCGACAACGGAAAAACGAGGCATTTAATTTGTCGGACTTACGAAGCGTCGGAGCTATGAGGCGTCGGACCTATGAGGTGTCGGACTTATGAGGCGTCGGACCTATGAGGCGTCGGACTTATGGGCCTTTATTTGGTTAGGGGATGCGATTCTGTCGGGCCTATGAGGCGTCGGACTTATGAGCGGACCCCGATTTGACAAGGTAAAGGTGGTAGTAGATTTGTTTGGTCTGTGATTGTTTTCTCTTCGTAAGATAATCACTACCAACAGAAGCTTTATTTCTTATTTTAAATGGGTAGCCCATTCAGTGGAATCCACTGATCTCCCATGGGTCCCAGTATAGAGAAGACAATGTGAAGAAATTACAGTTTTAGAGGTGGGAGGAAAAGCCCAGAAGAGTATTCTGAGGAAAACCCACGGAATCAGGTAGGGACTGAAAACCCAATCCACATATTGACCCAGGCGGGATTCGAACCCGGGTCACAGCGGTGGAAGGCGAGGAAAGTACCGCTACGCCAACCTGACTCCCCCGTAAGCTCAATAAAGACAAGTGTCTGACAATACGTCCGAATTTACGGAATTGCCCCTGAGACATCTTAAGAATTTTACACAGAATGAAAACCTATTGCTGCAATCAATAACAATTACTTATAAAAAAAAAATCAAGTTTATATTTGAAATTCCTTTTCAGTTTCTGTGACAGGTGACAAAAGTGTGTTCATTTTATGTCTATACTTTTATTGTCTTGATGGTACGAACAGGCTTCCGTCGTGTATCTAAACATGTCACAGACTACAGACGTTCAAAACCATTAAAATGGCATAGATTCAAACATTATACAATAAGTGTTTATGTATTTAAACTCGATCTGAACACAGTTTTTAACAGTTTAAAATAAAATACAGATAATCTCATGTATTTGGCAACAACTAAACATCAATATAACACACAAAAACGAACATAATGAATCACGGTAACACTATGTAATAAAATGAGTATTTTAGTAAAATAATTAAATGATGAAAAGAAAGAGATAATTTTAAAATTAATAAATAATTAATATAGTTCAAAATCAGTTAAAATTAATCTAAAAAAACCCATTGATTAATTTTTAAAATGTATTATTTCTAGTAAGGGACCCAACTGTTAGCTAGGATGTAGAACTGAGATCCAAACAATGAAAAAAAAAGTTTTTTTTGTGTATTTTTTTTTTAGGTTTTTTGTTTTTGCGCCCAAAAGTGGGAAGGATGACAAGCAGAGGGGACGCATGCGGACCGCAAGCAGTGGGGTGGCCGTGGCTATGTAGCCCCCCCCCCCCTCCCATGCAGTTACGGCACATCATTTCATATAGTCAACGAAACCTCATAATTTGTCAGTGTTCAAGGCGTGATGTGCGCTATGCCAAATCTGTATGTGTGCAAGGGCGGATCCAGAACATAATTTTTTTTTTTTGGGGGGGGGACAAACAAAAATGTTGGTCCCTCAAAAAGTGGGTCAAAAAATGACGGCGTGGGTTCCGGGGCCTGCTTAAGGGCCCCAAATTCTTTATGGATTCTATAGCTCTGTGGTGCGATCTGAGGCAATTCCTGACCACTTTAACCATTTTTTTTGAGGAAAAGATGGTAGTGCCTGCCTTTATTGCGACGTCAGAAAAAGAATTTGTTTTTTTTTTGGGGGGGGGGTGGCCCCCGTTGGCCCCCACCTGGATCTGCCGTCCAGTATAATGTCTGTCCTCTTCGACAAACCTATCTCTGGTCAGCGTACGGTCCTCGGCTCCCAAACATAATCAAGGGTCTGCCTAATCACTGCACCGGTGAATCACTTGAAATTATAGTGGTCAAGTTCAAAAGCCAACTGTATCATCCATTATCCAACATCAAACTTGTAATTAATATTTAGAAATGATAAAATCAGCTTTTTTGTATTATATCAAGTTCAATTAGAACACTTTGTCAGCGGGAAGTACCTAAAACGTGAAGAACAACTATTTAGAAAAAAAAAACGTTTGAAGTTGAACAAAGAAATTGACTGGAGCAGAGTTTGAACCTGCGACCTATGAATTGCCGTTATGCACAGCTTGATTCCTAATATAATATATATATTTTTGGCGTCGCGAGGGCAAGGGGGCCTGGAAAAGCAACAAGAACAACATCCCAACAAAAGGAGAAATTAAGAAAAGAAAAAAAAGGAAAAAGAGGTGTGGGCGTCTGCAGGGGTGAATGGGTGTGGGGTGGGCAAATGTCCCCCGCCCACCCTCGAAAAAAATTATAAATTGAGAATATGCTAGCGAAAGTACAAGGATTTTTTGGGGGAAATGTGCTTTGCCCCCCCCCCCCCCCCAGAAAAAAAGCCTGGCGACGCCCATGATTTTGGGCGCGTCTTCTTTATCACTTCCCCTTAGGATTACAAAGAGTCATCAGACTTAAAACAAGCTGAGTATACTTTTGCATAGCATTTGTAATTAAACTTAAAATTAAAATAAATTAATAAATAAATTCCCCGACACCCACACGTCTAAATTGTAAGTCAGGCAGCTGGAGGGGCTAAAAATAAACATGGCGGCCCTTTTGCAAACCTCGGCTTCATTTTCGGTTTATAGCTTTTAATGTTCGGATCAAATTAAAAAAAAATCACTTGCTTCATATATCATATAGTTTGATATTTCTGTACGAAAACATTGACTCATGTTGACCTGGAATCTTTACAGTTAGGGAGCCAAATAGCACAGTTAGCAGGCGCAGCCAAAATGGAGACAATGTCGAGTTTTGCAAAATCCCGGTAACCGTCGTCAGATTAAAAATATAACATGACGCAGCAAATCTCGCCACTCGTACGACCCGAGTGCACACAAGATGCACAAAATCTTCATTGAATTTCAAGTTTTCTAAATGCAAGCAATGGATATACATTGTATATATATTTTTTTTAAAATAGGCAAGGCAGGTAAATGAAACATATTTTATACCCGGAAATACCCGGGCGCTATCCGAGATAGTCGACGAAATGCATTCGGCAAACTTCGGACATTTTCGGAAACGGGAGGCATGCCTCTCGTTTTAGTCACGTGACACATATAAACAAAATGTACAGTGTAGCGGTAGGCTTACCTACTGAGAACCAGAGTACCAGACCTACTGGGTCCAGACTATCCCAAAAGAGTGCCAATGAAAGTTGAATTCCAAAGCCTGACTCCTAAATACTCCGTCAAATCCACATAACGTTTTGTTTTCTCCCACTTTGTTCATCCAACCGAAAGCGGACAACTCACGAATGCAAAACGGATATAATGATATGAAAACGGTTTGTAATTTTTACATCGATCAGAGGGAGAACGTTTTTTTGTTTCAAATATAAATGCAGGTAAATTTGGAATCATATGGTGTTCTGCATCTTCCATCTCGCATATCGCCTGTTTCCTAACCCCAGATATCAGCGAATTGGCCCCCTGTGTACCGGTATATCGTGTTTACTGCTTATATTGGTTTCTCAAAGCGTTCTAGAAAGTTTGTATTCACACGAAAAGGATTTATTTCATATCGGTGTATATTCTGCAGTAGGCTAGAAAACTGAATCTTCTTTTACAAGTTACCTGTGGTCGGATATGGGCATATAGATCGGTGTTTAATACGCAAACGTTTTACCGTCTGCCTTTCAAACAAATAAGCTTTTTAGCGACCGCCCTGAAACGTTCGTTTCTCCAGCAATAGATGACCGTGTTGAGCCACGAATTGCTGTAACGCAGACTTTCAAACAAAATTAAAGCATAGGAATTTTCATCTCCCCATAGTGTGAGCGTGGGTGTCCAAGTGACACAGACCGTGCCTGCGATAATCAGGAATGTTTTGAGAGATTTGATATTTGAGCGATGCAGCTGAACCTGTGCATCGTCAGCATTGATCTCAGCTGCTGCTATACGTCTTGCATGATGCCTCGCAATCAAAAGCAACTTGCCGTATATAATAATAACAGACACAAGGAGCAATGCTATCATAAACCAAGTAATTATGTTGAAAACATC